CATTCGGATTGCATTGTTTGATCATTTTGAAACTTTTTACATACGAAACCGATATAATTGTTGCTTTTCAGCAAATTCAAAACGTCCTGTGAATTCCTTTTGATCGAGTTACGGGCTTTTTGAAAGAAAGACTTTCGCAAAAACCCGTATCTTTATGATCATGCCACCAGGTTTGTAGCTGCTAATTCTGACTTTACAAATTCGGCAATTCTGACTTTCAGTAGGTTCCAAAAGTAGTGAATACCTTTCCCTGGCAAATTATTAGACTTTTTTTTTTCATTTCAATAAAAAATCGTTCACAATAGAATTAATTTAGGAATCCTATCTGCAAATATCTAAGTTGATAATAGACCTTGTCACGGTTTTCGGCGCCCGCTTGACGGGTAGGCAAACGCGTGAAAAATTAGTGTTTGTATGAGAATCTGATGTCTGAATTTCTGATGTCTGAATGTCTGAATTTCCGTAAAACGGCTGTTCTGAAAAAATCTAAAATCTTTGTAAACTAAAGCTACAAAGCAAAGGATTGTCCTAAAAAAGTTGGGGGGCGTACCTCTGCTTAAATTTCTCCAGAGGCTTGCTTTAGATTTTCCATATATTTGTCTGTAATTTTCCCGGGACTTTCTTACAGACAAATGTATAGAAAATTTTAAAAAGTGGTTCTAGGTCTTCTAGAACATGTAACGCCCTCAAATTTTTTCAGGAGAATCCTTAGGAGTGAAGCTTTAGTTTACAAATAATATTTTTTTCAGAACAGCCGTTCTACGGAAATTATTCGACATTAGATTCTCATACAAACACTGTAATTTCTCACGCGTTTGCCTACTCGTCAAGATGGCGTCGAAAACCGTGACAAGGTCTATTTTGAGGTGGACAACTTTGACCGGAAAATTTCCACGCGGACCGAAGCGTTCCATTTCTCGACCGAAATTTCCGAAAATATTAGCATTATGATAATTAATGGCAAGCAGCCTATAACTATCCGGTAAAATCAATCTTAGCAAGAACCTGAATGCTAAATATGCTTTGAAATAAGAATTTTTAAAAGAGTTGAGGACATTGAAACAAAACGGGAAGAAGACAAGAGAGAAAAAAGTAGGAGTCCTCACGATATTCGCAGATATTTTCCAACCCCGACCAGCAAGGCTTAACTTGTGTATTGAACACCAAGTTTCGCGAGGGGTTGCGAGATACGTATTTCTAGTATAGCAGTAAGTATTGTTGTATGTATTCAAGCATTTTATTTTTCAGCGTCATCTCTTCTTACAAGGGACTTAAATCGAGCAAAATTACTACGTTGCTTAGCTTTTTTGACTTTAAATCTTGCAATAAAACTATGCAAATTTAGTTGAAACTATTTCAAATACAGTACTACCTATGAACTCAGCATTGTTAATAAATAACGGTACTAAATCAGACGTACTAACTTTCTTTCGAAGCGAGGTCAGAGAGGAAATTTGCAGAGGTCAGGGTACGGTGGGGTTGGGGCTGATAGCATTTTTCTCACAGGTTTCCCCGAAAACCTTCTCGTTATGGTAGATCTATCGCATGAGGGACTCACAACCATCAGAGCCTGAATTTCAGCTGCCTTCTCCGCTCGCTAAATCACTTGTGCTCATGCTCAAATTAGCGATTGTCGATCGTATGCTTAACAACTCATCAGTCGAAGCGAAATCTCAGAGACATTCGCAGAAACAAGCCTACGGTGGGGGTGAGGCTGGTGTTACCGTTCCCTCACTTTTTTTTTTTCAAACGTTTCCTCGGGAAATGCCTCGGGGAAACCCCTCACTATAGCAGATCGATCATACGAGGGACTGACACAGTCATCAAAGCAACGACATGATGGTTATGTACGCCTTCTCAAACTAGCCATATATATATAGTCGATCGTATACTCTTAACAACAAAGATTAGTAGCTCAGGCTCTTTTCGTTTCTTGGAAGTCAGGTGTAGGACAGCTTGTGCTGCAAAGAAATAGCCAATGATATTTGATGTTCAACTCCATCAAGGAGCCACAAACATGAGTAATATTGAGCCTTTTGCTGTTTGATGAAAATTTTAAGTATTATTTCTTAAAAAAACAAAAAAAATTTTTAGACTTCTAAAAGATTATAACCATTTTAGCGGAGTCATGTAACGGCTGACATGTCAGACAAGTCTCATTCCAGGATATTGCTTAGAACTTTATTTAACTCCTTAATGTTCAGCTGTGGATCATGACATGATTGATTGTGCCATTAGAAATATATAGTTCCACCCAAAAAGAAGATTTAGGCTCAGTTTGGTACACCTGGCCAAGAGATAAGTTGTAAAACTGAGCTGTAAATTTAGTTTTTATCGTTGCCTAATCAAGTTCCTCGACAGTAAGGACAAGTGCTACTTTTATGTAAGTGGTGAATATCTTTAACTTCATTAGCAAGTTCGGTAGTTTTTGGTACATTTTATTACCTAGTTAGTTTTGATCGCCGGTTTTTTTTTTACACGATTTTAGAGTTTGTTCATGTCTTTCTAGAAATTGCTTTCATAATCGCTCAGTTGATTTAAAGATACGAAAGTTTACTCCGGCTATAAGTTAAAGTCCGCTGTTATTCACGGTTGTTAATGCCGGATAAAAGATTCTGTTTTGAAATACACAGATCAGTCGGTTCAAGGGTTCGGAGTAATCAGTTTCCCCATAAAAAACAAAAAAAACAAAACAAAAAAACGTTTTGAAGATTTAAGTTAAAATATTGGTGATTGTTTCCTCTTGGTGGTATTTGTGTATTAAGTTGAATTGTGTAATTCCTTGATTTTGTTGACGTTTGTTTTATCGAAGGTTTTAATTTGGTGCTTAAGTGAGCGGAATATCTCAGTGCGTTAATAGAGCCATCTTGGTTTCTTTGCATTTATTTTCACAAGGAGCTATCGCCTCCTGAAAGGACCGATTCAACGCATATCATTAAAGTTTGTCCACAGTTCATCAGAAGGGCCTTTAACTGCCGCCAGAAGCTGAGAAACTCTCCTTCGAAGGTTTTTCCCTGTACAGAGTTGACTGTTTTGACAATAGCCGTTTTGTAAACAGGTTTTAATATGTCCATTTACGCAGAACTCATTAAGCTAAGAAGAGTTAATACCAACTTGATTCTCGAATTATCTTTGAAATTTATCCCAGTTTTGGCAATTCATAGCTATTCCATCATTTCAAATTTAACGGCTATTGACTGCAGTTTCCGGACATTACAGGACGTATCAAGGCAAGTTTTCCATCAAATCACTCTCGAAATAAATAGACATCGAGGTTTCTTGGAAGAAAAAATTAACGACCGCTATTTAACTCTATTCATTGCTCGTCGCGGAATCGCTCAAATGATAAGCCTAACCTGAAGTTTCCCATCATTCTAGTTCTGTTCTTCGCCCACAACTGACTTTTTTTCCGTTTTTCTCGGTAATAATAGTAGGATTTTGCAACACGCCGCGGTAGGTAGGAAATTGAGTTATTTTACAAGCTACTGTCTCTTAAAAGAACTAACGATCGCAGTGTTTTCACCTTTAAAAAGATCGAAAAAGACGTTGTCGCTTATTTTTGATATATCTTTTAAATCCAGATGAAGGTTTGTTACAATTCAAATGTTCTAAAAAAAGACTTCTTGTTCACAATTGTATTGTTGTTAGTCGAATGAAAAATGGACATTGTCCAAATTTTTATATAAATCATTGTTCAGCCCTGCTGCAACGAAATTTTAATTCCTCTTCCCCGCTTTTTTTATCTACTTGTAATTGTATTTATTTTGACTTTGTTTATTTATACCTTTTTAAAGCTATATATACTTGCTTGTTATTATCTATATGGGTCTATGTTAATAATAGTTCTTGCGGTGTAGATAGGAAAAAAGGCTCTATCGAACGTAAAGTATCCATATTTTGACAACTTGAAATCTTGGCAAACTTAAACGAATACTGTCGGTCTGAGAGTTTGATTGGTCTCCTATCGAAAGAAACAAATGTGATGACAAAAAATGCATCATAAATATTTGCGATTCAATTCTTGTAGCATAGTTGTCAGTAATTATATTATGATAATACTAGCATATATAACTACCATGAAATTACACAAACTCGATATTTGCTTCATATTATTGCAGGTACGTTGGAATTTGGATAATGTTAATCTTTTCGTATCCACAGTTTTATTAACAACGCGCATTTTGAGTACTGACAAAATGCTGGACGTCAAAATACTTTGTTAGCTTATTTGGTCAGTGTTAGAAATAGATCCTTGTTGCAATGCTTAATCCGACATTACATAAAGCATATTGTCATGTTGGCTCTTTTACAAGCTCCAAAGCCAGAGGCTTTTCTGCGGGAGCTCCGGTTTTTCCCTTTCCTAAAAAAAACAACAACAACATTTCCAACTTCCACTTCGATCTTAAACGCACAATCACTTTTAAACAATTTCTTGATTAATCTTAAGTGTTTCGGGGACAAACAAATTACATTTCCATTTTTTTTTTAACAAATTTGTTATTAAAAACATCTTATTCCCAAGGTTTTCACTTCTCAATTACGTACGTAACGATCGAGAAACTTCAATCGAAATACGAATAAAATATGCTAAAAAAGGATGGAGGCTAACTAGGTCACGTTTGTCTATCGTTCAAGATTAGAACGTTCCAGAAAAATTTTTCAGTAATCGAGATTTCCTTCAATATTTTCCTTTCGTTTGTAATATCGTTTATTTTTTTCTTTCTAGATTCTATCATTTCTGACAGTTGCATTGTCAAATGTTACTAAATTGAACCAATATTGTTAACGTTTTCACACCCTTTAGCTCACCTATAAGAGTACATTAGCCCTATATTTCGGCTAAGCTATTGTCTTAACTGAAGGCATCATATCATTCGACCGTTAGTAACGCTTTCTTAGTTTTCGTGAGAGCTTCACGGTTCTGCTTCTATTGTATTATAACCTCCGTCTAATTTATTTGTGTTTATGTTTATTTATTCAAAACAGACACGATACGGGCCATGTCGACCTCTGGAGAAATCACGTTAACCAGCTGTTTCACAATTTTGGTATTCCCTGGCCTGCTTGGAAACATCTTGGTTTGTCTCGTGGTTTTTTCTCGCAGGACTATGCAGACACCGATCAACTATCTTTTCGTCAACTTGGCTGTCGCTGATATTATAACGCTGACATTCATCGGCCCGCAGTACATCTTTATACACTTGTTTAAACATCCAACAGGCACCACTGGTGATTTTCTTTGCAAGTTTATCACTGGTGGAAACATTTCATGGATTGGAGGTGTAGCTTCTGTGTTCTCTTTGGTCGCGATTTCCTTCGAGCGCTACAATGCGGTAATAAACCCTTACAGTCAGGCGTCGAATTTTTCAATAACAAAAGTAAAAGTCATTATCGTTTGCTGTTGGATTTTCACTCTTGCCTTCAATTTCCCACTATTTTTTGTTATTTACTATAACCGAGACAAAAAGTTTTGTTTAGAGTCGTGGCCCTCGATTACTTCAGGAAAAATCAACTCAACTTTCTGGCTAGTGGTTGTTGGTATTATACCAGCCGTTATCATGACATCGTTGTACTCTAGAGTCGTCTGTAATTTATGGTTTAAGAAAACGAACGAGTTCGTCCAAATAGTCGTTCGTAGATCAAGGAAAAAAGTCACCAAAGTAGCCTTAATAGTCAGCGTCATTTACGTAATAAGTTGGTTTCCACAGCTCGTTGTGTATCTTTTAAGCAACTACGAAACTGGTATTAAATTTGGAGAATTTGCCTACATGGCCTCCGTTGTAATGGTAACCTTTAATTCAGCAGTGAATCCTTTGATTTACGCTTTACAAAGTNGGCCTGCTTGGAAACATCTTGGTTTGTCTCGTGGTTTTTTCTCGCAGGACTATGCAGACACCGATCAACTATCTTTTCGTCAACTTGGCTGTCGCTGATATTATAACGCTGACATTCATCGGCCCGCAGTACATCTTTATACACTTGTTTAAACATCCAACAGGCACCACTGGTGATTTTCTTTGCAAGTTTATCACTGGTGGAAACATTTCATGGATTGGAGGTGTAGCTTCTGTGTTCTCTTTGGTCGCGATTTCCTTCGAGCGCTACAATGCGGTAATAAACCCTTACAGTCAGGCGTCGAATTTTTCAATAACAAAAGTAAAAGTCATTATCGTTTGCTGTTGGATTTTCACTCTTGCCTTCAATTTCCCACTATTTTTTGTTATTTACTATAACCGAGACAAAAAGTTTTGTTTAGAGTCGTGGCCCTCGATTACTTCAGGAAAAATCAACTCAACTTTCTGGCTAGTGGTTGTTGGTATTATACCAGCCGTTATCATGACATCGTTGTACTCTAGAGTCGTCTGTAATTTATGGTTTAAGAAAACGAACGAGTTCGTCCAAATAGTCGTTCGTAGATCAAGGAAAAAAGTCACCAAAGTAGCCTTAATAGTCAGCGTCATTTACGTAATAAGTTGGTTTCCACAGCTCGTTGTGTATCTTTTAAGCAACTACGAAACTGGTATTAAATTTGGAGAATTTGCCTACATGGCCTCCGTTGTAATGGTAACCTTTAATTCAGCAGTGAATCCTTTGATTTACGCTTTACAAAGTGGAAGATTCAGACAGCATTTCAAAGAATTACTTTGTCGTCATCAGAGAACGAGAAGAGTTTTTCCCCTTGAGTATTGCGATGCTGCGGCTGTCTTGTCGCCACAGAACAAGCCAAAGAACGAAAGCCACATGTTTAACAAAGAAACAGCTGAAACTAACAGAGAAACAGCGGAAGAAAAAACCAATTTAGCAAGAGATAGTTTTAGAGTTCAACTTACAGAAAAGACGGACTCCTGTAAAAAGTCTGTGATTTAATTTCTTCGTAGAATGCAAGAGAAGTGTCAGAGTATCAAACTGATCAAGCACTTACAAGATGAGGTGTTTCAATTCCGAACAAAATAGACTTCGGAGGTTATTAAACATTAACAGTGACTGATATAGATTTTAAAAATGATCAATAACCCTTTGATATTTAAAATCAGCAAAAGTTGGTAAAGTTTATGATAATCAGGACTGTTGCATTTTCAAACATTGGTCGTCACTCCTGACTGTAGTTCCTGTTTGTTAATATATTTGAAATAGTCCACGTGAAGACTCTTTATCTGTATTAAATTACTTATTTATTTCCATTAAAAAGAGTTAAATCGGTTATCTTTTGGCAAAATTTTCAACTATTAAATGACTGAAAATCAAATGGAGTGTATTCCTTGCAGTAGTAACGTCATTTCCTCTGGCAATTTGTGGTTATCGGTATTACACAATTCTCGCAAAATGATGCGGAAAATTGAAAGCTTTCTTTTCTTTTACGCCAAGGTAAACCTCAACTACGTAATCATTTCACTCACAGAGTCCGATATGAAGTCACGTAAAGTAGCTAATAAGTACTTCAGGTTCAGTACTCCGGATAACATAATCCTATGGTGTAACTTTTATCTTCTTCGTTTTGGTTTTAATTACAAAATTATGGAAAGTAAAGTTTTGCAGCGGTGCTCGTGCGAGCGAAAGGAAATCGAAAGGTTGCCAAATAGGATGAACCAGCCTGGTAGTAGCCGGCCCGGCTGGCCGGCATTCCATAAAAATTTTTGTCGTGTTTATATGAAAAGGTGGGCTAGCTCTCCTGCTTACCGCTAGTTAGCGCTAAAATTTGCATTGTTTTATAACACAATAACTATAGTTTTACTTTTCGAATTTTCATAATTTCGAAGTCTTCAGAATTTTTGAAATCGCAAAAGTTTACAAATAGTGGAGAGAAAGCCGACGGAACAAGGCGCGGGTTCATATTTACACCTGAACCAAAAAAAAGTTAAATAAAAACCCCTTCAATTTCTGTTCCATTCTCTACTGCGGGTCAGTTTCCTTTCCTTTTCCTTTGATTCCTTGGCGCCACGTAAAGGGTGTTTAATTGTAACAAGTACAGTAAACTAAACAAGCGAAGGGGTCCTTAAGTTTTTTTATGAAAATGTACGTGTATAATATCGCTTTTTTTTTTTGTTAACACAGATATATTGCCATACGAAGAAATAAACTAAATTTAACTCAAGGGAGGTTTCAGACCATTTTATTCAGTGTCCTACTAAACTTGCAAATTCATGGCTTAGGGCCTATATAATCAATGCCCCTGAGGTTTATAATATCAACAGAGGTCAAACCCTTGAAACCAAGGTCAGTCTGGAAAGCAGTAAGATTTTGTGAAGTTCGCGCGAACCTCACTCGCTGCAGTAAGGCATTTGAAGCAAAAAAAGAGGAACGCGTTTTTCGCGCGTCTGTGCCCAATCTCACACTCCTTATTTTAGTTTTTTCACCCTAGCCCTAGGGCTTTCGTTTGACCGCTCGTGCGTTCTAGCTTGCCCTTCGCAAAACTACAGGCTGGTTTGAAGTCTAAACTAAGGTATTGAATTGTCCTTCGGATTTTCAATTCGTTAGTGACATTTGTTAGAGACATTGGCGCTTAATCAATGAATTCAATACGGAGATCGAGTTCTACAAGCGGGATTTGTTAACGATACAGGTAATGAATATCACTCTAGTGGGTTTCTAACTATAGGAGCCTGGAAAGATGCATTGTAACACGGATCGAAACCGTCAACTATAATCACTGAACTTTTTCTAGTTTCAAAGAACTCTTTAACATTAGTGCTGAGCTCGATCCGCTTCGAAACTGACAATTCTAGCTGAATAACCAAGGTCACCGATTGGGCATGTAACAAATTAGGAGTTCTGTACACTAATAGAAATTAGCGTTGTGTGTCGGGGAGAGACAGGTGGGGACTACACTTTTCAGGTTTCCTTTACTTTTCAGTTTCGCGAAAGGTGCTGCTTAGATGTAAACTCTCCCACCAAAAGCACTAACCTGAGATTGTAGGCTGGCAACGAGTCAAGGGAAACAAATTTTAAGAACTTTTGAAACGTCTGAAACGTTGTCGGGGAAAGAGTGTTGCAACCGTTTCATGATATTAAATAATTTATGCGTTATTTCTGTCTAATGTGCTGACAACATGTCATGATGCGAATGCCACCTCTATGTAGTTATTGAAACACTCTTCTCCTATTATTGCATAATATGTCCCTTAGTCAAAACTGGCCGCAGGTTTTTCACGACTTGACAGGTGTTTACCATCGATCAGAAAAATTGTTACCTCTGTAGGCTAATTCATCGCTTCACTGGAGGTGCTTGCTCTACAATAGCAGAATCGGGATTTCCGCTACAAGTTTTATGAGTAGAAGTTTGTATAAAAACAATTTAATATATAACACCATGTAGTTACACCCGTATTGGGGATTTAGTCGTCATAATATGTGGAATTCTTCTAATGTTTTAAATTTTTTCGCCTTAATGGCCGTGTATTAATATTTATCTATATACTGTACCTTACATAATGGCTATTAACTCAGTCCCTCTGGCGAGTTGAACTAAATATATCCCTGCATCATTCACTGGCTCATAACCAATCATTCAATTATAGAAAAATGTGGCTCAAAATATCTCAACAAAAAGGATCAATCAAGGACACAAGAGGTAGAACGGCCCGGTATCAACGAATTAAAGACTGGCATCATGTTTGAGAAAACACGTGCAAACACTGCATTCATGATCAGGTCAGTAACCATGATCTGCTTAGAGGAAATCGTTCAGCATTTTAGTCACAACTCAAAGAATTGGAAGAAAAGCAGATCTCTCTTACTAACTAAAAAACTAACTGTTATACATCTAGAAGCAAAAATGTTTCGACAGCTGTTGAGAAATCTCCACAAAAATTGTACGTGCTCACCAAATCTTTAAGATACCGATATTTATATCATGGTAGAAAATAACTTTCAAGTTGGAAAACAATAATATCAGTATTGACCCGCGCAACCAGGTAAAGAAAATTCCATCATGGCTGTTAAATGTATAAATCAGTATATCACATACAATTTAAACTGATATCAGGAAAAATACACTTATATCTCCGTAACAAAATGACATAGAGAAAGAAAATATTACATCCGTGTAGTTAATTGCTTTTTAGGCAGAAAACCTTCAGTAGGTAAGTCATTCCAAAGGAAGTAAAAAATCTGGCTATGAACGTTGCTTTACACTGGATTTATAGTTCTACTAGGCGAATTTTCAGCTTAATAAATGAAACTTCACCCATTTTATTTTTGCGTTGAAAACTAGTCACCCCGTGCACGTTATGTCTTGTGTGCCACCGATTTACGTTGAATGATGCATACAGTCTATAATTTACATCTCCCCTCTTGTCTCAGTTTACAGATTCATTATCTGAAAATAAACAGTGAACCTTTAAGGAAAAAGGGAATTCACCACTGTGAGGTGGTGTAGTCCTCTGAGCAACATGAATCTTTTGTTAGGGAAGTAAACCAAAATATTAATGTAGGAAACGTTAACGTAAAGGCAGAATTCATCAGCCACGGCATAAAAATAGACTCATTCAGAGCAGAAAACCATTGTCATGGTCATAAAGGTACATGTATATATCTACGTGGTAAATGTTTATCTCAAGGCTGACGTTGTTCACCCATGCCATCATTAAAAGCTGAAGGCAGAAGTATTTTGTTTAGTTGCTAAGCCGATATCAAGGCAGAAATATTTCATCACGGAAGATGAATTATGCCGTAACGGAATTAAAATAAATGTTGGGCAGAAAACTTTTGTTAACATTGGTAAACCGATATCTAGATGGAAAACCGATCAACATCAAGCTGCTGGTAGACATAACTCAGTTATGGCATAAAAAATTAGCTGATTCAAGGCAGAAAACAGTAATTAAGGTGGTCAGAAAATACGCCGTTGGAGCAAAACGGCCCGCCTGTGTTCAGTTCCTATAAGGGAGGGACCTCAATTTGACTTTTTTTGCTCCTTGATTACTTATGAGAGACTTTTTCCCCAGTGAATTCTTCTACCGTACGTCTTTTAACATTTGTACCTGTTATTTCTTCCAACGGCTACACAAAAGAATTAATTTTGTACTTCACTGGTTTGATACTTCAAGGACTTCAAGCCGCTAAATTAATTTTTAGAAATACAGTGGAACTTTTAGAAATACAGTCGAACCTCCCGTAAGCGACCATCTAAAATGCGAACACTAAGTGGTCGCGTTTACGGGAGGTGGTCGTTCACAAGAATTGGACCTCAGGGGGCTCTTCCCGCGAGAAAATGTCTGAACTTTATGGAAAATAATTTATTGAATGCAATTTCTGAGTTGCGATATGTTTAGATCCATGTTGTCACTAAACGTTCTTCATATACTCTTATAAGTAACATAGTACATACAGAGACGAGACCGTGCGTCTAAAGGTCGTTTGAAAGAGGTTAAAAACAATGGAAATCTATGAAATCGTCAGCCAAAAAGTGGTCGCAATCGCTTATAGGAGGTGGTCGTTTACGAGAGGTTCTATATCAAAGACGTGGACTGGGAAAATTTTGGTGTTGTGGATAAAGTGGTTAATAAATTAATAGCGGTTACTGGGTCCCTTGTGAGATGTGGTCGCACTTGGAAGTTCGACTTCAGTATTAAGATTTGTCATAAAATGTATCCATACGGAAAGCTTGTAGAACAGCAAAGCTACAATCATGTCAAGAACTGAAGCTCTTGAAAAGAAAGAAAAACATTTTAATACTAACTATACTTGTTGTTTCTTTAGAGTTTTTTTCTTCAGTCAATGCTTGCCACGCGGCCTCACAGGGCCTTACGCATGTTATTAGGGAGCTTAAGCAACGTCCAAGGCGACGGCATGGCAACAAGAACGACAAAAAAGCAATAGATTTAGCACGTGCTTTTTTGTGCATGACTTTGTCGTCGTTGCACGACGAC